CCTGAGTGCCACTGGCCAGGCCGCCCAGGCCACCCTCACCATATTGTGCTCAGCCATCCCCACCCTGGCCAGTTCGGGCTCCAGGCCATCCTTGCCAGCTGTCGGTCTGAGGGGTTCACGAGCTAGATCTCAGCAAGGAAATGAGGCAGAGGACCCCAGTAAAGAGCACCCAGGGCCTCCCTACATGCTGGCCCACCATCAGTGCTCCTATGGGGCGCTGCCTCCAGGCAGGAGCCACTTTCCCGAGGATTAAGTAACAGATGTCCCAAGTGTCTGTTTCCAGGCTGGACTGCGCTTCACGAGGCCTGTAACCGGGGCTACTATGATGTGGCGAAGCAGCTGTTGGCCGCGGGTGCAGAAGTCAACACCAAGGGCCTGGATGATGACACGCCCCTGCACGATGCCGCCAACAACGGGCACTACAAGGTGGGCGCCCCCCAAAGGCCCCCAGCGGTTCTGGCTGTGGCGGCTTGTCCTCTGTCCTGACTACTCTCCATGTTTGCTGGGTAACTGAGCAGCGAGTCTTGGCTTCCACTAGAGCTGACCCTTCTGACTGGCCTGGCACTCTCATCCCAGGTCAACACCTGCACAGCCTCCCGCAGTCCTGACATCCAGCGCCGTCTACATGCGTGACGGCCCTGCTTGTGCCGTGCAGGTGTGGTTGGATTTTCAGTAGGGGAGCGATCGCACCCATGGGAAGGGCACCCCCGGCTGCCAGGCCTTGTCCCCTCTGCTGTGGTTCTGTTAGGCCTGGAGGCCCTGATGGATGCAGTGCCGAGAGGCACAGCCATTGCAGTCGACCGAAGGGACCATGAGGAGCAGTGCACACCCTTGGCCCTCAGCCTGAGGCTAGAGGTGCACATGCTGCCAGGGAGCAGGGAACGCACAGAGGTGACAAGGGTCTTGCTGGGTCATTAGCAGAGTCACCTTGAAGAGGCCCCTGACCAAAGACAGGATGGCTGTGTGTGGTGAGGACAGTGACACTCAGCTGTCTGAATTCATGGCACTCATTTGTGGAAGCCTGCATGGCTGCTTATGGCAGATGCCAGGGAACCAGCAGCTCGAGTGTGTGACAAGCACAATTAGAAAATGACAAGTCACTTCAGGGGAGAGAGACACTGGGGGGCTCCGAATGGAGAGCTCTGAACCCTGACCATGTATCTGATGTTAGGGATCAGAGCTGACTTGTTAGATAAAATAGTGGCATTATGGTTTTTTGTTTGTTTCTTAAAGGCCATTTTAGAGAAATGCACTGCAAGGTTTATGAAATGTGTGAGATTTGCTACAAATGCCTGGGGGAATGGGTGACTTGAAACTGGCTGTCAACTGAGGGGTAATCCTGATTATCCAGTGGGCCCAGTAGCCTTCAAGCATCCTGGCTGGTCAGAATGACCAGCAGTGACAGGTGGTGGGCTATGTGGGGGGGATTTGACTAGCATTGCTGGCCTTTAGGGAAGGGCCTGTAGCTACCAGCAGCTAGGATGGCCTTCAGCTGGGACCAGGGTCTCACCACTGCGAGGAGCTCCAGGTACATGGAAAGGAGGGAGCCGTCACAGCTCGCCAGCTGGGTCAGTGAGACTGCCCTTGGCCTTCTAACCTGGGGTAGCCCACAGCTGGATGCTGCCCCGGTCAAGTGAGACTGAACAAGTGAGAGTGGGAGGGGTGGGAACTTAGGTGGCCCGCACTGAGGGTCTTTACACACTCTCATCTCACACTGGACCACGGTCGAACCAGGTCTGCAAGCTCAGGGACTCAGCCTCCCTGGGGACATGAAATGCGGGGCTGCCGATGGTAGACAGGTGAAAAGAGCTGTGGGCATGACCCCTTGAGCGCCGTTGCCACTCACCTGCCCATTTTGCCCCTGCTCAGCAAGGTGAGGAAGGAGGGGTCTGTTCTCTGAAATGAAATAGACCTTCTTGCAGAAGCTTGGTCTTCATTTCCTCTATTCTGTAATCTCCCCCACCCCAAATAAAACGCTTGCCCCTAAACTCCCACCACTGACCCTGCCACGCGGAGAGCTCGTCGTGGGCGGGAGGGGCGGCACATGGCAGATGGAGGCCCGGGTGGGTGCCCGGCTCCAGGGAGGCGCGCCTCTGCCACCCCCGGCCTATGAGCCCTCCTCCCGAGGCGGGAGCTATTCGCTGATGCGGGGGCTCTGAGCCGTTGCTGCTCTGCAGGTGGTGAAGCTGCTGCTGCGGTACGGAGGGAACCCCCAGCAGAGCAACAGGAAAGGCGAGACGCCGCTGAAGGTGGCCAGCTCCCCAACCATGGTGAACCTGCTGCTGGGCAAGGGCACCTACACGTCCAGCGAGGAGAGCTCCACGGGTCAGTGGGCGAGGCTCCACGGGTCAGTGGGCGGGGCGGGGCCTGCTGGAGGTGCAGTGCAGCCTGGATCCCTTGTCCTGCCACAGTGTCCGAAGCAAACCGCTTCTATCTGCGGATCTGCACCCAGGGTGTCCCGGCCGCATCGGGACCTGCTGGACTGCGGGGATCCGCTCCCTGAATTTCAGTGCCCAAACCGGCAAGCTTACTCTTGAGATGCCAGCCCTCTGCTACACAAACCTCTCTGGTTCACTTCTGCCCATGTCTGCCCCCACATTTCACTAAATAGCATGAAGTGCTGCTCCGGAGGCGCCCCCTTCTGTCCTGGGGTGACTGAGTGTTTGGGGAGGCCTTTGTCCGGTCGCCTCTGCGGATGGCTTACCTGGGTGTGCCTGTGGACTTAAACGTGCTACTGATGTGTTTCTCCCTGTTCCCAGCAGAGAGCTCCGAGGAGGAAGACGCCCCGTCGTTTGCACCTTCCAGCTCAGTCGATGGCAATAACACGGACTCCGAGTTCGAAAAAGGCCTCAAGCACAAGGCTAAGAATCCCGAGCCTCAGAAAACTGCGGCCCCCGTCAAGGACGAGTATGAGTTCGACGAGGACGATGAGCAGGACAGAGTCCCTCCAGTGGACGACAAGCACTTGCTGAAAAAGGATTACAGGAAAGAGACAAAGTCAAATAGCTTCATTTCTATACCCAAAATGGAAGTGAAAAGTTACACTAAAAATAACACAATTGCACCAAAGAAAGCGACTCATCGCATCTTGTCAGACACGTCAGACGAGGACGTCGGTGTTCCGGTGGGGACAGGGGAGAAACTGAGGCTCTCGGCCCACTCGGCATTGCCCGGTAACAAAATGAGGGAGCCTCCCAGCTCAAAGCAGCAGAAGGAAAAGAATAAAGTGAAAAAGAAGCGAAAGAAAGAGCCGAAAGGCAAAGAAGTTCGTTTTGGGAAAAGGAGCGACAAGTTCTGTTCTTCTGAGTCAGAGAGCCAGTCCTCGGATAGCGGTGGGGACGACGGCGACTCGGTGGGCAGCCCCGGCCGCCTGAAGGAGTCCCCGCTGGTGCTGAGGGACCCCGCGCTGTTCAGCTCCCTGTCGGCCTCCTCCAGCTCGTCGCTGGGGAGCTGCAGCGCCCAGAAGCATAACCCCAGCCACGCAGACCAGCACACCAAGCACTGGCGGACAGACAACTGGAAGGCCGTTTCCTCTCCTGCCTGGTCAGAGGCCAGCTCTTTATCAGACTCCACGAGGACGAGACTGACAAGTGAGTCTGATGGCTCCTCCGAGGGCTCCAGCGTGGAGTCACTGAAGCCAGTGAGGCGGAAGCGGGAGCCTCGGAGGCGGGGCGGCCTGCAGAGCGGGCTACCCGACAAGAGGACCCCCTTTCCCTGCACTGTGGATGGCGCTGTCCCCAAGCTGGACAAGGAGGGGAAAGTGGTCAAGAAACACAAAACAAAGCACAGACACAGGACCAAGGAGAAGGGCACCTGTGCTGCTGGCCAGGAGCTCAAGCTGAAGAGTTTCACCTACGAATACGAGGACTGCAAGCAGAGGCCGGACAAGGCGATCCTGCTGGACAGCGACGTCTGCGCGGACAGCAAAGCAAAAGCCTCGAGGCACGAGCGAGAGCACGCGAGGCGGGAGGAGCGGCTCGGCAGGGCGCGGCCAGAGGAGAGAGAGTGGCTCTTCAAGGATGAGGTGCCGAGGGCCCCCAGAGATGAAAGGCCCCCGAAAAGAGGCAAGGACACGAGCAGGGGTGGGAGCCGGCCGCTCCGAGAAGACAAGGACCGCGCAAACAGGGCCGAGAGGGAGAAGCCGGCGAAGGAGAAGTCCCCGAGAGAGGAGAAACTGAGGCTCCACAAAGAGGAAAGAAAGAGGAAGTCTAGAGACAGGCCCTCGAAGCTAGAGAAAAAGAATGATTTCAAGGAGGACAAAATTCCAAAAGAGAAGGAGAAAACCTTCAAAGAAGATAAACTCAAACGAGAAAAAGTTTACCAGGAAGACCCTACGTTTGACGAGTATTGTAACAAAAATCAGTTTTTGGAGAACGAAGATACCAAATTTAGCCTTTCTGATGATCAGCAAGACAGGTGGTTTTCTGATCTGTCAGATTCCTCCTTTGATTTCAAGGGGGAAGACAGCTGGGACTCGCCCGTGACCGACTACAGGGACATTAAAAATGAGTCTGTGGCCAGGCTGATCTTGGAAACAGTGAAAGAGGACAAGGAGAAGAAGCGGGAAGGCAAACCCCGGGAGAAGCGGGGCGACCGAGATGCCCTCCTCAGGAAGAGGGACAGGGACGGCCTGGACAGGACCTCTGAGAAGAGGAGAGANGCAGACCAAGAGTCAGGGACTTGCTGGAAGTCACAGGGCCCCTCTTTGTTTATGGTCAGTGCGACTCCAGGGGAAAATCCCGTGGCAGAATACCTTTGAATTGAACCGAAATCAGAGAGAGAAATGAAGTGGGAGAAACCTGTTTATTGCCTACAAGCAGGCACCCACTTCTGCTCACCCGTGTCTCTCACGACCCGACTGGGGGGCGGAGGAGGGGAGGCGGCCCCACCCAACCTCTCAGGTCCAGATATGCCCTGCTCCCCCTTTTAATTACCTGTTGATATGGAGATGCACTGCTTCTCTCCACCCCTTGAAAACACCTATTGATACGGAAATATACTAAGGCCAGGCAAGAGATGCTGGAAATAATGCAATTTTATCCACCGTCAGTGGTGATAATTTTTCAGAAAAGGGAGGAAAGAGAAAAGTAGGCACCAATTGGGGGTTGGAGGGAAAAGCCTGTCACAGCTGCCCCTGAACATTAGGCAGTGCCCACTGTGCAGCGTGAGTGGGGCCACATGGTGTTAGCACCTACCGTTGAAGGGTGGGTGATCTTGCAGTAAAAACGGAACAGCTCCTGCTGAGTGCGCTGGCCGTGAACCGGGCCTCTCCATCTTCCCATGTGTCGGCTCCAGCCTGTGCTCTGGGTTTCATGACTTTGACCCTCAAAGCCGGGCCCTGTGTGTGGCGTGGAAGGCGTGTTCCCGGGGCCAGGTGGGACCTTATAAGCCAAGCCGTCAGGACATCAGAGTCGCCCGCGCTCCGCCCAAAGGTGCCACGAGCTGCAGCTTCACGGAAGCACCACTCAGCGCTCAGCTGTGGAGTAGAATCGGGGTGGTGTTGACATCTTAGGATTTTGTGGTGGGATGTCGGAGTTCTAGATTTCTCTTTTTTGGCAATATGGCAGACTCTGTGGGTCCTGAGAAAGCCCTCTGCTAAAATGGCCCAGAAACCAGTGAGTGGGTAGCATGGCCATGAGCTGCTGGGGCCGAGGTTTGCCTCTCGCCGTGGCTGCTGGCCTGCTGGGGCCGCAGCTGTTGGCCCTAGGAGGGCCATGCCCCTTGGCGTGCTGCTGTGAAGATGCCGCCCCGGCCGAGGCGTCGTCTCTGCTGTCTGGCATGCAGGCGGGGCTTCTGAGAGTCTCCCGGGGACAGATGCCAGCCTGAAGCCCCCCGTTGTGTGGGCTCTAGCTTGTGCCGCTGGAAATACCTCGCCCCTCCCTCCAGCTCCAGACCAAAGCCAGTCCTGTCTGGAGAAGCAGGCCTTGTGGCCTTCTGGGCCCCAGATTTCAGAAAGCAAGTTCTTGGTCAGAACTACTGACCACAGGGAAGAAGCTACCTCCAGGCCTTCTTGAACTGGGATGGTTAGACACAGATAAAAGAAATGAGATCAGTAGGATGTAATAAAAGAGAAAATTAAATACAAGAGCGAGGAACAAATACTGTCAAGAAAGGTCATGTAGATTTTGTTGAACCTGTGGAAACAAATAATCAGTGAAATTAAAAGTTCAGTGGACAGATTTTATAGGTTATTAGGTAAGAAACAGAACTAGTGAGTTGGAAGTCATCACTAAGGACTTGTCTGGTAGGCACAGGAAAAGATGCAGGAGATTGCAGAGGTGTGTGTGCAGTTGGGGGGCTGCCGTGGGGCCGCCTCATTGTTCTGAGGCCTGGGGGTAAGGCTCTGTTTGCAGCTGGGTGCCACACACCAAGGGGCAGTGAAGGCAGGACCAGCCTCGCAGAGGACCAAGAAGGAGGTGCTGGAAACACAAGGTGCTGCCATGTTGCTGGGTTTTCCTGAAAAAGATGGTGTGGGGACTGTCCAGGCCCACGTGAAACCACCCTCCACCCTTGGCCTCAGGAGCCCAGCAGGAGTGAGAGACAGTGAACCAGCCCTTGAGGAGCAGTTGGGAGGGATCTGCAAGGGCCTCAGCCTTGCTCTGCTGTGGGGTGGCAGCCCACCTGTTCCCACCAGGCTTCCCAGCACCTGCCATGCCTGCTTCTGCCGGCACCGTGCCCACCCCACCCTATAACCTGCAGAGCCCTTGGGGCTCTTAAAAGCCATCCAAGCTGATTGGGTCCCACCCTGATCCTGGACAGAGTTCACAGCAGGCTTGTCGGAGCCACACCTGCCACCTGCACTGTGGTCACAGGCACTTGCCAGTTCTCACTCTGTAGCTTGGCAAATGCCATTTAGAATTCCTGCACGTTCTACTTTGTTTCCATTTGGACACGAGGAGTGAAAAGCTATCAGGCCAGGGAGCTTGCCCGTTATTCCGGGTGGCAGCCTCCTCCCACCCTGCCCCTTTGTGCCGGCCAGTGGCATCTGTCGCCTGAGTGTGGGTAGGGAGTGGCAGGGGTTGACCTGGGGGCTGGCCTCTACTGGCAAGATACAGCTGGTGGGCCAGAGGGGAGCGCTCTCTCTGCCTTGACCCTGAGGTGCAGGGACTCCGGCCCTCCAGCAGCTGGTAGCTGTAGGTCCCTACCGAAAACTCTGTTGTCAGAAAATTGGCATCAAAGGAGATCGATGACATTTTGGGTGTGTTCCTGTGATAGGACACCTGAAATGTCCTGTTTAAGTCCAGGGAGATCCACGGGAGGTGCCTGCTCTCTCCCTGTAGGACAGGGCAAGGCTCTGTGAGCGTGAACTCTCCGGGAGGAGGCAGGTGTGTCTGCGCCTCTCCTGAGTGTCCTGGGGCGCACTGACAGCCTCCTGGCCACAGGGGAGAGAAGGCAGACCTCTGCTTCGCTCAAGCTCACAACAGCAGAGGAGGGTGGCCCAGGGGTATGGCCCTGGGAGGAGTGGGCCCTGCCACCCCCCACACTGCTGGCTCTCCTCTGTCCCCTCCTGAGACTGCAGGCCTGGTGCCATTGAGCCCTGTTCTGCAGTAGAGGATGAATTTGGCTGCTGTAGAAAGCCTTCTGGGCCGAAAGCCCTGGCTGGTTCTCAGGGGCGCGCAGGGTGACTCCCTGACTCTGCCATCTTAAAGTCATAACGTCTGTCCTGACAGTACCCTGCAGATCCTGCCCCTGCCTGGTCTGCCCCAGCCCACCGTCTGCCCCTGGTCTGACCTCTCCCTTTGACCTCTGCATCGATTCAATGTAATAAGCAAGAGCCACCCACCCCCAGGAATTATCAAGGCCACGTGCTTCCCAGAGGCTGCTTCCACCCTCTTCTCATGGGCTTCATGTCCCCACCACCCCAGGTGAAGGGGGACAGTGGTGGGAGCCCAGAGGACAAGAGGCCACAGGCTCTGGTTGAGACCAGGCAGTGCCTCCCCAGAGAGCAGAGTGGGGGGCATGCTCCTGTCTCCCTCCTGTCACTTTGAGAGAGGGGACAGCAAGGGGCACCCAGGGCCCTGTGCTAAGGACACCCCAGATGTATATGAAGGTTAAATGCCTACCCTTTTTGCAGGGGGGTGGTCAGCTGGTGTGTGCCTGTGGAGCGCAGCTGAGGAAGCAGCTGGCGGTCCCACCAGTGTTGTTTCTGTCATATTTTATACATCAGCTGTGGAGACCCTTGCCGTCTTCATCACGGGAATGTGTAAGCACACAGTGTGGCCATGCGGGTACACGGTAAGCAGGCAGAGTGAGGGGCACATGCAGAGATAGGTGAGCAGAGCGCTCAGCTCCATGGGTCCCTGTAGGCTGAACACCCTGATCCAACGCTGTAACCCCACGGCACTTCTGAAGTGCGGCTTGGTTTCTTGGGATTTCTTGGAGCCACTGTCGCCAGCATGTCATCCTGGCAGAGGCCTCCACAAAGGCCTTTGCCACAGGGACGCGCCGTGGGCTCTGAGTCACAGCCTTGGCCGGGTCGTAGGCAGAACGGGGGACAGGGCCAATGACCCAGATGCCTGTGGTCATTGACAAGGAGCATTCTTCTGAAATCTACTTCTTTTCTTGGCCTGTACCTTGTGGGCCGAACACTGATTGGTGGTAGTGTTGGCTGCCTGGGGAGCTGTTGCCAAACGCATGAGTCAGCATTAGATTTTTAAAAAGCAGTTTGAGTACTTTTTGAGGACATAGCAATTCATAGAAAAGTCTTAAGAAAATGGAAAATGACACCCTGGTGGGGTTTGAAGTGGTGGTTCCAGGAGTGGTTGGTGATGGTTCTGGATGTGGAGCAGACGAGGCAGATGAGTGATGTGTTTTATGGACGTCACCCCCGTTCTAGGGCCGAACCCTAGCCATGACCTGTGAGGAGGGTCTCAGATGCACTCAGTGGAAAGCAGGGAAACCCCTCCCGGGACAGTTCCAGAGACCTGAGCCCGTGTGACCCTCCTTTCTTGCCTGCAGTTTGCACCCCGTGACCTCAAACACCCTAAAACCATCTTGCCCGCACAGGGGCTCTACCCGGAAGTGCAGGCAGGGTCGGGAGGGCTCCCGGGCCCTTGACAGACCCAGATCTCCTGCTGGCAGGAGGTTGGGGAGGAAGGGAGAGAGCGGTGGCTCCCGGTTCCTGAAGTCCAGCGCTGTCTTCTCTCCCTCACTCCCTGCCTCTTTTAAAAGAAGCTGTGCGGTCTGTTTCCACTGGAGGTTGGCAGGGTTTGTGCTGGGTCAGATACGTGGAGGATTTGCTTGTCGCGAGGCGGCCGCGTCGTCCCACCGCGTCTCGTTAGTGCTCTGTGTTGATGCCTTTAGATGCCTCCAGCTCAGTCCATGTCGTGGTACTGCAAGGCTGGGTCGCTCCTCGAAGCCCCATGGCATGAAATGGAGGCTCCTAGAAGCAAGAAGAAAGGTACAGTACTGACCAGTCGGCCCTGACCTCTTTATGTATTTCCAAACTGTTTGCCATTTATACCTGTACTGTCCAGAGGTGGGGCGGGAAGGAGGAAGTGGATGACAGACATGCATTAATAGACGGAGGCCTGTCCTGTGTGCCAGGACGTCAGACTGGCTGTCCCCCTGCCTCGCGCGGGGGGCAGGCTGGGGAGGCCCCTGCAGCACAGCGAGCAGTTGGTGGGGCCAAGGCCTAGCAGCTCGCTGGTGTGACAAGGTGCTGGGCTGAGCGTCAGGCACGCAGGAAGAGGTGGTGATGGCAGCCCGAGTGGGGCCAGTGGCGCCCCGGCCGCTGTGTGGGAGGTGGGGCTCTGTGGTGCCTGGAAGGCGCTGGTTCCAAGGACCGTGGCATGAAACCTCCCCTCTCTCCTCTCCCACCTCACAGAGAAACAGGGTCCCGAGAGGAAGAGGATCAAGAAGGAGCCTGTCACCCGGAAAGCCGGGCTCCTCTTCGGCATGGGGCTGTCTGGAATCCGGGCTGGCTACCCCCTCTCCGAGCGCCAGCAGGTGGCTCTCCTCATGCAGATGACAGCCGAGGAGTCTGCAAACAGCCCAGGTGAGTCTGGCTGCGGTGGTCCCTGGGGTGGGAGTCGTGTCCCCTTCACCTGGTGAGGACTGCCTGAGTCCTGGTGTTCTCCACCCCCCACCCACTGGCTCCCTCCTTAACCCTCCCCTGTCCTGGGCTCTGCTTGCAGTAGACACGACACCAAAGCACCCCTCCCAGTCGACCGTGTGTCAGAAGGGGACACCTAACTCTGCCTCAAAAACCAAAGATAAAGTAAACAAGAGGAACGAGCGTGGCGAGACCCGCCTTCACCGAGCCGCCATCCGGGGGGATGCGCGTCGCATCAAGGAGCTGATCAGCGAGGGGGCCGATGTCAACGTCAAGGATTTTGCAGGTGAGCGCCCACAGTGCCCAGGAGGCCAGTGCAGCACTGGGCCTTTGCGGGTGGCATGTGCAGGGAGGACTTGGCGCTGGCCTCCCCAGGTGTGCAGAGCTTCTGGCTGCGCACCGGGTCCTGTAGCGGTGGCCCACAGCCACACGTGGGGTCAGCATAGCTGGAGCAAGAGCCAGCCCCCAGGCGTGTGTGACGGAGCCCCCTCTTCCACCTGTATGATTTGCTATTTCTGAGGAGGAGGAGTTAGTGTTTCTAGGGAAGTAATTCAGAATAAAGTCATTTTCTATTTCATTATTCTAATGAGCATTGAGTGGTTCTTCGATACCACTCTCTGTCACGTCCCAGCTCTGTGCTGGAGGGCTCCTGCTTGCCGGTTCCCCGCAGGCCTGTGGCGTGGTTTGGAAGAGACCACACCGCCCAGCAGAGGGTGCTTGTGTGCCTATCAGCCCTGGGGGTGTCCCTGGGAGGAAACGCCACCCCAGAACTCTAAAGACAAACCGTGCGCCTCCCCTGGTATGAGGCAGGCCGAGGCCCTTTGTTTACTCCGCAGCTCATGGCTGCAGCTCAGTGTTGATTTTTTGCATGAAAAACCTCCTTTACGCCAAGACCTGTCATCCGCAGACTCCACGGGGGAGTGAGCAGATGCGCGGAGCACCCTTCCAGAAGATCCTTCTAGATCCTGCCCACTGCCCTGTTGACAACTGTCCGAACCAAACCTACTTTTAGCACCTTTTAAAAAAAAAACATTCCTAAATGAAGATTTTCCCAAGCACTGGAACGTGTGTCCTTGGAGCAGGCCTTGTTTGCACGCTGGCCTGTGAGGCCACCGGGGGAAGCCTCCCCCCATGGGGCCTCAGTCGCATGCCTCATGGAGGCTGCATTTCCCAATCTGTCTGTGGCTGCGGCGGCGGGCTCTGCCAGGCGCCACCAGAGCCTCTGGGCTGCTTGTCTGCATCTGCAGCAGGGCCCTCCCTGAGTGCCACTGGCCAGGCCGCCCAGGCCACCCTCACCATATTGTGCTCAGCCATCCCCACCCTGGCCAGTTCGGGCTCCAGGCCATCCTTGCCAGCTGTCGGTCTGAGGGGTTCACGAGCTAGATCTCAGCAAGGAAATGAGGCAGAGGACCCCAGTAAAGAGCACCCAGGGCCTCCCTACATGCTGGCCCACCATCAGTGCTCCTATGGGGCGCTGCCTCCAGGCAGGAGCCACTTTCCCGAGGATTAAGTAACAGATGTCCCAAGTGTCTGTTTCCAGGCTGGACTGCGCTTCACGAGGCCTGTAACCGGGGCTACTATGATGTGGCGAAGCAGCTGTTGGCCGCGGGTGCAGAAGTCAACACCAAGGGCCTGGATGATGACACGCCCCTGCACGATGCCGCCAACAACGGGCACTACAAGGTGGGCGCCCCCCAAAGGCCCCCAGCGGTTCTGGCTGTGGCGGCTTGTCCTCTGTCCTGACTACTCTCCATGTTTGCTGGGTAACTGAGCAGCGAGTCTTGGCTTCCACTAGAGCTGACCCTTCTGACTGGCCTGGCACTCTCATCCCAGGTCAACACCTGCACAGCCTCCCGCAGTCCTGACATCCAGCGCCGTCTACATGCGTGACGGCCCTGCTTGTGCCGTGCAGGTGTGGTTGGATTTTCAGTAGGGGAGCGATCGCACCCATGGGAAGGGCACCCCCGGCTGCCAGGCCTTGTCCCCTCTGCTGTGGTTCTGTTAGGCCTGGAGGCCCTGATGGATGCAGTGCCGAGAGGCACAGCCATTGCAGTCGACCGAAGGGACCATGAGGAGCAGTGCACACCCTTGGCCCTCAGCCTGAGGCTAGAGGTGCACATGCTGCCAGGGAGCAGGGAACGCACAGAGGTGACAAGGGTCTTGCTGGGTCATTAGCAGAGTCACCTTGAAGAGGCCCCTGACCAAAGACAGGATGGCTGTGTGTGGTGAGGACAGTGACACTCAGCTGTCTGAATTCATGGCACTCATTTGTGGAAGCCTGCATGGCTGCTTATGGCAGATGCCAGGGAACCAGCAGCTCGAGTGTGTGACAAGCACAATTAGAAAATGACAAGTCACTTCAGGGGAGAGAGACACTGGGGGGCTCCGAATGGAGAGCTCTGAACCCTGACCATGTATCTGATGTTAGGGATCAGAGCTGACTTGTTAGATAAAATAGTGGCATTATGGTTTTTTGTTTGTTTCTTAAAGGCCATTTTAGAGAAATGCACTGCAAGGTTTATGAAATGTGTGAGATTTGCTACAAATGCCTGGGGGAATGGGTGACTTGAAACTGGCTGTCAACTGAGGGGTAATCCTGATTATCCAGTGGGCCCAGTAGCCTTCAAGCATCCTGGCTGGTCAGAATGACCAGCAGTGACAGGTGGTGGGCTATGTGGGGGGGATTTGACTAGCATTGCTGGCCTTTAGGGAAGGGCCTGTAGCTACCAGCAGCTAGGATGGCCTTCAGCTGGGACCAGGGTCTCACCACTGCGAGGAGCTCCAGGTACATGGAAAGGAGGGAGCCGTCACAGCTCGCCAGCTGGGTCAGTGAGACTGCCCTTGGCCTTCTAACCTGGGGTAGCCCACAGCTGGATGCTGCCCCGGTCAAGTGAGACTGAACAAGTGAGAGTGGGAGGGGTGGGAACTTAGGTGGCCCGCACTGAGGGTCTTTACACACTCTCATCTCACACTGGACCACGGTCGAACCAGGTCTGCAAGCTCAGGGACTCAGCCTCCCTGGGGACATGAAATGCGGGGCTGCCGATGGTAGACAGGTGAAAAGAGCTGTGGGCATGACCCCTTGAGCGCCGTTGCCACTCACCTGCCCATTTTGCCCCTGCTCAGCAAGGTGAGGAAGGAGGGGTCTGTTCTCTGAAATGAAATAGACCTTCTTGCAGAAGCTTGGTCTTCATTTCCTCTATTCTGTAATCTCCCCCACCCCAAATAAAACGCTTGCCCCTAAACTCCCACCACTGACCCTGCCACGCGGAGAGCTCGTCGTGGGCGGGAGGGGCGGCACATGGCAGATGGAGGCCCGGGTGGGTGCCCGGCTCCAGGGAGGCGCGCCTCTGCCACCCCCGGCCTATGAGCCCTCCTCCCGAGGCGGGAGCTATTCGCTGATGCGGGGGCTCTGAGCCGTTGCTGCTCTGCAGGTGGTGAAGCTGCTGCTGCGGTACGGAGGGAACCCCCAGCAGAGCAACAGGAAAGGCGAGACGCCGCTGAAGGTGGCCAGCTCCCCAACCATGGTGAACCTGCTGCTGGGCAAGGGCACCTACACGTCCAGCGAGGAGAGCTCCACGGGTCAGTGGGCGAGGCTCCACGGGTCAGTGGGCGGGGCGGGGCCTGCTGGAGGTGCAGTGCAGCCTGGATCCCTTGTCCTGCCACAGTGTCCGAAGCAAACCGCTTCTATCTGCGGATCTGCACCCAGGGTGTCCCGGCCGCATCGGGACCTGCTGGACTGCGGGGATCCGCTCCCTGAATTTCAGTGCCCAAACCGGCAAGCTTACTCTTGAGATGCCAGCCCTCTGCTACACAAACCTCTCTGGTTCACTTCTGCCCATGTCTGCCCCCACATTTCACTAAATAGCATGAAGTGCTGCTCCGGAGGCGCCCCCTTCTGTCCTGGGGTGACTGAGTGTTTGGGGAGGCCTTTGTCCGGTCGCCTCTGCGGATGGCTTACCTGGGTGTGCCTGTGGACTTAAACGTGCTACTGATGTGTTTCTCCCTGTTCCCAGCAGAGAGCTCCGAGGAGGAAGACGCCCCGTCGTTTGCACCTTCCAGCTCAGTCGATGGCAATAACACGGACTCCGAGTTCGAAAAAGGCCTCAAGCACAAGGCTAAGAATCCCGAGCCTCAGAAAACTGCGGCCCCCGTCAAGGACGAGTATGAGTTCGACGAGGACGATGAGCAGGACAGAGTCCCTCCAGTGGACGACAAGCACTTGCTGAAAAAGGATTACAGGAAAGAGACAAAGTCAAATAGCTTCATTTCTATACCCAAAATGGAAGTGAAAAGTTACACTAAAAATAACACAATTGCACCAAAGAAAGCGACTCATCGCATCTTGTCAGACACGTCAGACGAGGACGTCGGTGTTCCGGTGGGGACAGGGGAGAAACTGAGGCTCTCGGCCCACTCGGCATTGCCCGGTAACAAAATGAGGGAGCCTCCCAGCTCAAAGCAGCAGAAGGAAAAGAATAAAGTGAAAAAGAAGCGAAAGAAAGAGCCGAAAGGCAAAGAAGTTCGTTTTGGGAAAAGGAGCGACAAGTTCTGTTCTTCTGAGTCAGAGAGCCAGTCCTCGGATAGCGGTGGGGACGACGGCGACTCGGTGGGCAGCCCCGGCCGCCTGAAGGAGTCCCCGCTGGTGCTGAGGGACCCCGCGCTGTTCAGCTCCCTGTCGGCCTCCTCCAGCTCGTCGCTGGGGAGCTGCAGCGCCCAGAAGCATAACCCCAGCCACGCAGACCAGCACACCAAGCACTGGCGGACAGACAACTGGAAGGCCGTTTCCTCTCCTGCCTGGTCAGAGGCCAGCTCTTTATCAGACTCCACGAGGACGAGACTGACAAGTGAGTCTGATGGCTCCTCCGAGGGCTCCAGCGTGGAGTCACTGAAGCCAGTGAGGCGGAAGCGGGAGCCTCGGAGGCGGGGCGGCCTGCAGAGCGGGCTACCCGACAAGAGGACCCCCTTTCCCTGCACTGTGGATGGCGCTGTCCCCAAGCTGGACAAGGAGGGGAAAGTGGTCAAGAAACACAAAACAAAGCACAGACACAGGACCAAGGAGAAGGGCACCTGTGCTGCTGGCCAGGAGCTCAAGCTGAAGAGTTTCACCTACGAATACGAGGACTGCAAGCAGAGGCCGGACAAGGCGATCCTGCTGGACAGCGACGTCTGCGCGGACAGCAAAGCAAAAGCCTCGAGGCACGAGCGAGAGCACGCGAGGCGGGAGGAGCGGCTCGGCAGGGCGCGGCCAGAGGAGAGAGAGTGGCTCTTCAAGGATGAGGTGCCGAGGGCCCCCAGAGATGAAAGGCCCCCGAAAAGAGGCAAGGACACGAGCAGGGGTGGGAGCCGGCCGCTCCGAGAAGACAAGGACCGCGCAAACAGGGCCGAGAGGGAGAAGCCGGCGAAGGAGAAGTCCCCGAGAGAGGAGAAACTGAGGCTCCACAAAGAGGAAAGAAAGAGGAAGTCTAGAGACAGGCCCTCGAAGCTAGAGAAAAAGAATGATTTCAAGGAGGACAAAATTCCAAAAGAGAAGGAGAAAACCTTCAAAGAAGATAAACTCAAACGAGAAAAAGTTTACCAGGAAGACCCTACGTTTGACGAGTATTGTAACAAAAATCAGTTTTTGGAGAACGAAGATACCAAATTTAGCCTTTCTGATGATCAGCAAGACAGGTGGTTTTCTGATCTGTCAGATTCCTCCTTTGATTTCAAGGGGGAAGACAGCTGGGACTCGCCCGTGACCGACTACAGGGACATTAAAAATGAGTCTGTGGCCAGGCTGATCTTGGAAACAGTGAAAGAGGACAAGGAGAAGAAGCGGGAAGGCAAACCCCGGGAGAAGCGGGGCGACCGAGATGCCCTCCTCAGGAAGAGGGACAGGGACGGCCTGGACAGGACCTCTGAGAAGAGGAGAGATGCAGCCGAGAAGCACAAGGGCGTCCCCAGCTGTGCCCCAGAGAAGGACAAAAAGCGGCGGGAGTCTGCTGAGGGCGGGCGGGAGCGCAGGGACGGCAGGGTCAGGCCCGAGGATATGCACCGGGAGGACCCCAAGGAGCAGGGTGGCGAGGGCGGCCTCAGGGACAGGCCGGACTGCGACTGTGGGAAGGGCCCGGAGCCTTGGGAGCGGCACCACGCAACCCGGGACAAGGAGAAGAGGGAGAGGCCAAAGTCAGAGAGGGTGCGGGACAAGGCTGGCGACAAGGACCGGGGCGAGAAGTCCACCCTTGAGAAATGCCCAAAGGACAAGGAGCTGGACAAGTGCTTTAAGGAGAAAAGAGATGCTAAGGAAAAGCATAAAGACAGAGAGAGGAAAGCATCTCTTGACCAAGTCAAAGACAAAAGGGAGAAGAGTTTCGCTGGGATTACCCCCGAGGACTTCTCAGAGAGAAAAGACGAGAAAAGGGGGAAAGAGAAAAGCTGGTACATCGCAGACATATTCACAGATGAAAGCGAGGACGAGAAGATCGATTACGCAGCCAGCGGGCTCAAGGCCGCGGAGCCCGGCGACGGGCAGGCAGAGCGGGACGACGGGCGGGAGCTGCCGCTCCCCGACAGAGCCCGGAAGCACTCGGCTGACCGGCAGCACGCGGACAAGCAGAGGGACCGGGAGCTCAGGGAGAAGAGGAAGGACAAGGGGGCCGCGGAGGCGGGGAGGGACAAGAGGGAAAAGGCCCTCGAGAAGCACAGAGACAGGAAGGACAAGGAGTCGGCCGAGAGGCACAAGGACAGGAGGGAGCGCGCCCCGGCCGACGCCCCCCAGGAGAAGAGGGGCAGGCAGAGGCCTCCTGAGAGGGCGGAGAGGAAGCCCTCGGCCGAGGACAAGGCCAGGAGCCGGCACAGGGAGCGGCCGGACCGGGAGCACTGCCGGGACAAGAGGGCGCCGCGGAGCAGCGAGGGCGAGAGGAGCCTGCTGGAGAAGCTGGAGGCGGAGGCCCTGCACGGGTTCCGGGAGGACGCCGACGACAGGGGCAGCGAGGCGTCCTCGGACAGCTTCGTGGACCGAGGGCCGGAGCCCGGCCTGAGCGCCCTCCTGGAGGCGTCCCTCGCCGACGCCCTGGAGGAGAGGCCCAAGGACAAGGAGAGGCACCGGCACTCGTCGTCCTCCTCCAAGAAGAGCCACGACCGGGAGAGGGGCAAGAAGGAGAAGAAGGAGCGGGCGGAGGACCCCAGGGACGCGGGCGGCAGGAGGGGCTCCGGCCAGTGCGAGAAGGGCCTCCCGGAGGCCGATGCCGGCGGTGCCCCCTACACCACGAGAGCCGACGTGGAAGACGAGCCGGATAAAGCCGCTGAGTTGTTCTCTGCTGAGAAGAAAGACAAGAACGACTCTGACAGAGAGCCTTCCAAGAAGGCAGAAAAGGAGCTGAAGCCTTACGGGTCCAGCGCCGTCAGCGCCCTGAAGGAGAAGAGGAGGAGGCAGCGGCACCGGGAGCGGTGGCGGGACGAGAAGGAGAAGCCCAGGGACAGGCCCGGGGACGGGCTCCCAAGGCACAGGGACAAGGACACCCCGCCAGGCTCTTCCAAAGACAAGTGCAGGGATGAAAGTCTGAGACCCAGCGAGGCCAGACCGAAGGAGAAGTTCAGGGAAAACCCAGAGAGAGAAAAGGGCGACGTGACGAAGGCGAGCAATGGCACGGACAGGCCGCTGCCCTCCAGAGACCCGGGCAGGAGAGACGGCCGGCCCCGGGAGAAGCTCCTTGGTGATGGCGACCTCATGATGACCAGCTTCGAGAGGATGCTCTCCCAGAAGGACCTGGAGATTGAGGAAAGGCACAAACGGCACAAGGAGAGGATGAAGCAGATGGAGAAGATGCGGCACAGGTCTGGGGACCCTCGGCTCAAGGAGCGGGCAAGGCTGGCTGAGGATGCACGCAAGCGGGGGGATGGCCCCCCGAGGAAGACGCTGGGCCTGGACCCTGCCCCAAAAGACAGGAAGCCCAAGGAGCCGCTGCCAGCCGCCGAGAGCAAGCCCCAGCCAGGACCTGCCGTGGATGCCAGGGACTGGGTGGCCGGCCCTCACATGAAAGAGGCCTTGCCCGCTTCCCCCAGGCCTGACCAGAGCCGGCCCACCGGGGTTCCCACCCCCGCGTCCATGGTGTCCTGCCCCAGCTACGAGGAGGCCATGCACACGCCCAGGACCCCATCCTGCAGCGCCGACGACTACACTGACCTTGTGTTTGACTGCCCCGACCCCCAGCCTGCCTCCAGCACGCCCACCAGCGCCTGCTCCCCTTCCTTTTTCGACAGGTTCTCCATGGCAGCAGGCGGGATTTCGGAAACCCCTGGTCAGACACCCACAAGGCCGCCGTGCACGAGCCTTTACCGTTCCGTCTCTGTCGACATCAGGAGGACCCCCGAAGAAGAATTCAGCATTGGGGACAAGCTCTTCCGACAGCAGAGCATGCCCGCCACGTCCAGTTACGACTCACCAGGGCAGCACTTGGAGGACAAGGCCCCTGGGCCCCCAGGTCCCGCCGAGAAGTTGGCCTGCTTGTCTCCGGGGTATTACTCTCCAGACTATGGTGTCCCTTCCCCCAGAGCAGATGCTCTTCACTGCCCACCGGCTGTGGTCACCATCACCCCCTCCCCAGAGAGCGCCTTCTCTGGGTTACAAGCAAAGTCCCCTCCTCACAGGGAGGAGCCGTCGGCCCCATCCATGGAGGGAGCCCTGCCCCCCGACTTGGGCCTTCCACTGGATGCCACAGAGGACCAGCAGGCCACTGCGGCCATCATCCCCCCTGAGCCCAGCTACCTGGAGCCCCTGGAGGAGGGCCCTTTCAGCACAGTCATCACCGAGGAGCCTGTCGGGTGGGCACATGCCACCACCTCGGAGCAGGGCCTCTGTGCCGGCCTCATTGGGGGTGCCCCCGAGAACCCTGTCAACTGGCCAGTGGGGCCAGAGCTTCTGCTTAAGTCTCCACAGAGATTCCCAGAGTCCCCGAAACATTTCTGCCCTGCTGAGTCCCTCCACCCTGTGGCCCCAGGGCCTTTTGGTGCCACGGAGCCCCCTTTCGCAGTCTCCCCTGTCTCATATCCTCTGTCGGTGGCCGAGCCGGGACTCGAGGACATCAAAGATGCTACCGCGGTGGAAGCAGCCCCAGCCACCATCCCCACTTCGGAAGAGCCAGGCCCCTTCACTCCCTCCTCCAGGCTGGAGGCCTTCTTCAGTGACTGCAAGCCCCTCCCGGACACGCCCCCTGACCCACCACCCGAGCCTGCATGCATGACCATCACGCAGGCAGAGGCTCTGGGGCCCCTGGAAAACAGCTTCCTGGAAAACGGTCCCAGCCTGTCGGCCCTGGGCCCAGTGGAGCCTGGGCCCTGGCCAGACGCCTTTACCACCTCAGAGGACGACTTGGACCTGGGACCTTTTTCACTGCCAGAGCTTCCTCTTCAAACGAAAGAGGTTTCTGATGTCCAAGCAGAGCCTGTAGAAGAGAGTCCCCTTGTCCCTGTAGGAAATGCCCCTGCAGGGGCCCCCCCAGTCCTCGACAGTGGGGAGGTCGTGGCATCAGCTGCTGAGGAGCCACTGGCAGTGCCCCCTGACCAGGTGGCCACCCGGCTCCTCACAGAGCCTGAGACTTCAGAGGAACTGCAACCAGACGTGGTGCTGGAAGCCACGGGGGAGGCCAGGGTCACGGCAGAGGGGAGGGCCCCTGAGGACACGGACTTTGGCGTGGGGCCCACACCTGTTTTGGAGCAGTGCCTGTCAGGGAGTGTAGACGAGGCCCAGGGCCAGGACCCCCTGGCCACACCCCTCAGCGCCCCAGACTCCGCCGTGGATGGCTTGGCACAGGCCTGTGTGGCAGACGGGGCCGGCCCCAGTGACAGTGCTGGGCTCGAGGTGCCTCCAGGCAGTGTGCAGCCTGAAGCTGCGGAACCAGAACCCAAGCCCCCAGCCGAAGCCCCAAAGGCCCCCAGAGCGGAGGAGGTCCCGCAGCGCATGACCAGGACCCGGGCCCAGATGCTGGCCAACCAGCACAGGCAGAGTGCATCCCCCTCCGAGAGGGAGCCTGTGCCCACCCCAGCCCCCAGGGCCAAGGGCCGCGGCTCCGAGGAGGAGGACCCACAAGCCCAGCACCCACGGAAGCGCCGCCTCCAGCGCTCCAGCCAGCAGCCACCGCCACCCAGCACGTCCACGAGGCAGACGCGGGAGGTGATCCAGCAGACGCTGGCCGCCATCGTGGATGCCATCAAGCTGGACGCCATCGAGCCCTACCACAGCGACCGCTCCAACCCGTACTTCGAGTACTTGCAGATCAGGAAGAAGATCGAGGAGAAGCGGAAGATCCTGTGCTACATCAGCCCGCAGGCCCCCCAGTGCTACGCCGAGTACGTCACCTACACGGGCTCCTACCTCCTGGACGGCAAGCCGCTCAGCAAGCTGCACATTCCCGTGGTGAGTGCTGCCTTGCGGACCGGAGCCCGAGGCGTGTGTCCTCAGGCCCACGCGGCCCTGCCCTTCATCCAGGACGGCCTGTCTGGCACCTGCCCCAGTCGCTGTGTGCCCTGCTGACCTGGGGCTGCCCTCCTCACCATCCCCCAGCACACCTGCCAGCTCAGCCCCTGCCCCGCTCCCCTCAGCAGCCTGAGGCCTGGAGCCAGTCCCGCACCTCGACCGTGAACCTCTGCACACCTCTGTCCTGGGGCCCAGTGGCCCGATTGCTGCCCCAAGGCCAGGCCTTGGCTCTCAGCACATGGGAGCCCTAAGCAACCCTGGCACCATCCACCTCCTCGAAAAGCGCTCTTCTTGCGCCTCCGGGCCTCCCCCATCCACCCCTTCCCCTGGTGTCTCACTCCCCAAGGACCCAGTGACCCTGTGTCTGTTGTGACGCATCCCAACCCCTCCCTGTCCTGCCCCCATCTGGGGGTAATACATCCCCCGTGGCCTCTGCCTGAGGTGGGTTCCTCTTCCTCCTTGCCCCTAGGGTCTGTCCTTAGCACAGTGGGCAAGGGTGTTCTCTCTCAGTTGGGCCAGACACAGGGGCCAGGTGGCCTCTTCTCAGCAGCCCAGGCTGCCCAGCAGGCCCAGTCCACCTGGCCTCCTTGGGCCTAAAGGACCCTGGCTCAGGTTTGTTCACACCCTAGAAGTGACCGTCCCACCCCCTGAGGAAAAGCCAGGACATTGTCTGTTGTGTCCCTTAGGCCCAAAACGGCCTGGTCACAGCTGGTGTGTGAATGCCGGGCAGGATGAGCTGACCGCCAGGGCCTGGGGAAGGGCCAGTGTGCTGCCAACCCAGCCAATGTTGGAGGGGGCTTCCCATCCTCAGGACGGCCCCCTGTGGAGGCGTGTACACTGCTGTCAGCCCTGGGTGTTCTGAAAGGTGGTGTCTGCCCGCTCTGCCAGGCCGGAAGCTCACAGGGACTGACCCCAGCCTCCTGGGTGAGGAGCCACTCTGGGGTCAGTCCCAGAGAGCAGGGGAATGGGGTGTGGCTGCCTGGGTCGCCCCCCAGGCCCCTCCCTTCCCATGCTGTGCAGCCCTTCTGGGGAGGGAGTCAAAGACATCCCTCTTATTTGGCCTAACATTTCTGCTCACTGAGACGTTTGTTTGCTTAAACTTTAGTTACCAAAACAGAATGCCATGGCCACCACGGGAAGCCAGTGTACTCCTGCCCCCAGGGCTCCCTGTGGGAGTATCTCTTCTGTTCTGGGACCCATTATTCTAGAAAGGAGCTCTGTGGGGAGCCCCTGGTCTCACCAGGAGGGGCATGGGGCCCAAGCAGCCTGATGACCCGGGCCTTGTGGGTCTCATCCTGGCACTTTGTCTTGCGATTAAGTGAAAGGAGTTGAAACGGTGGTGCTTAAAAAACCCTTGTTGCCAGAGGATACTCTGAATACCTGCTGCTCTGACTGGTGGCCTCCCTCCCCCGGTGCTACCTACACGCAGCCCACCTGGACATCCCGGGGAGGTGCACCCAGGGGCTGGGGCTGTCCAGGCAGAGGGGACAAGCAGGGCTCCCCTGGAGAGCATGGCTAGAAGTTTCAAGCTTGGTGTTCGTAGCTAATTTTAGGCAGGCAGGAAAGGTGAGGGAGCATCTCTGTGTGCGCCCCTCGCAGGGCGTCCCCAACCATTGTCCCCGGGTCTCCTGGGCTGTGGTTCGTCCCTGCCCCCGGGTTTGGTCTCATGTCTGCAACTGGCAAGAACCCACAGCTGAGATGGAGGCCCAGGTGTCCCTGGTGGTGGTCGCCACGCTCTGGCCTTCCTGTGCACCACTCCTGCCCTGCCCTTCCTCCAGGCTCGCCCTGCTTCCCCCGACTTTAGCCCCAGGTTACTCCTGGGGTGCTAGCCTTGGGCTCACTTTCCATTTCCCCTTCCCCCCAAGTCTACTCCTAGAGGCACCTCAGCCCGCAGGTTTCGACCTGCCATTGATGGCCGTTTCTACTCCGTGTGAGTTGCTGGGGTCTCGCCGCCGCGAGCTGGCCCCCAGCCAGCCCCTCCTGTGACCACCCTTTTCTGGGCCCACGAGCGTCCCTTCTGGGGGAACAGTGTTCAGAGTCCAGGTCCTGGGTCATGTGCCTGCGGCTGGGGATCCTCACTCGGTACCTCCTCCCCGAGGGAGGCCGGTGCTGGCCATTCACACCTGGAGTCCGCGTCCCAGCGCTGGGTCAGGGCTGCCCTTGGCAGGTGGCGCTTTTCCAGAGTGACTCAGCCGAGCTGCCGCCTCGCCAACTGCCTGGAAACAGCTGGCTCGGTTGTCAAGTCGTGTTCCGTTTGGCGGGTGAATGGTTTATTTAGGGGAACGTGAAATGAGCTGCTGATAAACAGCCCAGTTCCGCCCCCCACGCGCGTCTCATGAGACAGCCCAGCACGTGTGTTTCGTGCCTGGAGGTGGCAGTGCGGACGCCCTCTCCGGTCCCGACGCCGGGCTCCGGGCGGTGGCGTGTTTCGCTCCACCTTCGCTGCCTGCGGGCATCCGGCGGGCCCTGCGCAATTACCTGGCACGGCCGGCCGTTTCCGCGGGACCGGAGGCGCCTCCGGGGCTGTGGGGCAGTGTTCCCGGCGCCTCTGACCCGCTCTCCCCTCTGACTGCAGATCGCCCCCCCGCCCTCCCTGGCGGAGCCCCTGAAGGAGCTGTTCAAGCAGCAGGAGGCCGTGCGGGGGAAGCTGCGCCTGCAGCACTCGATCGAGCGGGTGAGGGGGACGGGCGGGGCGGGGGCGGTGGGCAGGGGCGGAGCCGGGGCGGGGGCGGGGGCGCAGCCGGGTCAGCCTCCGCTCACCCAGCTCCCTCTGCAGGAAAAGCTGATCGTCTCCTGCGAACAGGAGATCCTGCGCGTGCATTGCAGGGCGGCGAGGACCATCGCGAACCAGGCCGTGCCGTTCAGTGCCTGCACCATGCTGCTGGACTCTGAGGTCTACAACATGCCTCTGGAGAGCCAGGTTGGTGGCCGCCCCCTGGGCGTCTCGCCCGTTTGCCAGGAAGGGCTTGTTTGGCTCCAGCTGCGCGTGCAGGCAGTGAATGGGAAACGCTGCATCCCACAAACCCCAGCCGGGTGTGGTGAGCAAGCCGCAGGGTCAGGACAGGCTTGCAGGCCCCTAGGTTAGGAGGGGCCTGCCGGTCCGGGGCAGGCAGGGCTTCGGGGCCCAGAGCCTGCGCGTGGTTACACACACAGTTTGCCGGGACTGCTCTCCAGAGCAGCCCGGTCCTTGCCTGCCTTATCTGGGTTGCGGGTGGAGGCAGCAGGACTGCTCCTACTGGAGCCCAGTGCCCTGTCTCTGAGTGGTCCCATCTGCTGGCCACTCCCAGCCTTGGGCATTTGCAAGTTCCCACGACCTGCCCGTGCTCGTGTCTGGGGCAGAACATGCACACAGTGGGCCATTGAGCCTCCAGTCTGAGAGGCCAGATGTCCTAGGTTTTACTCCACAGTTGACTGTCTTTCCCAGCAATCATGTGATGGTGTGTGTCATCCTGGGCCTGCCCTGTGCCCCAGTCCTTACAGCAGATGCCCTCAGGGTCTGAAATGAGCTGATGCTCTGGGCTCACTGTCCTACCAGTGACCCCTGGGGTTCTGAGCAGCATTCCCAGCTGGCCACGTGGTGATGTACAGTGGGTTAGTGGTTTTTAGTTAAAACCTGTTCTTTAGTAGTGGGGTGAGATTTTCTATTCACTTAACGTATAGTCTGTGAGAATAAATCGTCAAGACTCTGCCCACTTAACACACTGCGTAACAGATGTTTTTCTAAAACAAGAACATTTCTTGACAAAATATTTGGAGACTAAAACAATTACTTCAGGGGTTGAGTTTTGAAAGTTTTGCCCTTTGCATCTAAAAAATCAAGAAAATGTGCTGATCCTGGGATTTCTGAGTGGCTTCTGGATGCCAAGGAGCGACTAGACCTCAGGCTGCAGCCTCCTACCCTCATGTACCTCTGGGCGGGGCCTGGGCTCGGCCTTCGGGTGATCATGTGGGCTGTGTCCTGTGTTCTGCTTGGCACGGCGGCCACCCTGACTCCCAGAGGCCCAGCAAGCCCAGACAGCACCGGGCTCCTGCTTCAGTCTCTCTGCCCCCATCCTGTGGCACCCTGCTTGTCAGCCACAGCTCCCTGCTCTGCATAGGGGCAGGGCCAGGACGCTGGCCCTCAGCTACCGCAGGCCTCAGACTGCGGCTTTCTCAAAGACAAAGTTTGCTTTGTTTTCGTAAACAGAAGAAACTGAAGCAAATGCCATCGCTGGCTTTACCATGTGCCTTCATGGGAAACCTGAGGACATGGTAGAGGCCAGAGGGTACCCCATTCCTGCCCTCGGATCATAGTGCGCATGTGGGAAGCTCTTGTTGGGGCCCCACGTCAACCCCGGGTGGCTCCATTACAGACTGTACTGCACGCAGCCTCCCAGGAGCATCATAAAGGCTACTTGGGGAGGGGCGGGCTGTCCACCCCAAACACGACTGCAGCACGTGGGGACTTGAGCACTGGGCGGCCTGCCTTCTCTGAGCCTCCCTGCCCTGTCAAACACCCACATTTGGTGTCCCTCCAGGGCGATGAGAACAAGTCGGTGCGTGACCGCTTCAACGCCCGCCAGTTCATCTCCTGGCTGCAGGATGTGGACGACAAGTATGACCGCATGAAGGTGAGCGCACCCACACCACGGGAGCCTGGGCCTGGGGGCCGCTCCTGGGCCCAGAGTTTAAAGGTGGTAGGTTGAGACTCAGTCCAGCTGATCCTTTGAGGAGCTGAGGTCTCCCTGCCCTCAGAGTGCCCTCCCTCCTGTCCAGGTGTGTGGGGAGCGGCTCCTGGCACCAGCTGGCGGTCAGGCCTCTGTGGGACCCCGCCTTGAGCCCTCCTCAAAGGCCACAGCACACACCCGTCACCTCTGCTCCAATGTGCTGACTGGGGCAGCAGGCCACAGGAGGGGTGGGAGCTAGATTAGCAAGTAAGCAGCAGGCCCTCGTCACCAACCGGAATGCATGCTGATGGGGACGCGCCAGTTACAGATTGATGCCCGGAGGTCAATGCCTCCTGAAGCCGCAGGGCCTGTGGCTATATGTGCCACTCCTGAAGGCTGTGAGCCGTGGAGGGGCCCAGAGCCCCCAACCCTACCCGGGGCCCTGACCTTGATGACCCGGGACCAGGGTGCCCTGGCAGTGCGTGCAGAGCATGAGCCTGTGTGGCGTCCCAGTCCGGCCGTGACACAGGTGCCTGTGTGCAGAGGCACCACCGTGGCTCCCCACCCACCTGCCCTCCCAAGCCTGCGGGGAACTGCAGTGGAGACGTCCCTATGAAAGGAAGAATTAGGAGCTTCTTCATGTGCAGAGAACATACAAGACAACGAGATGAAGGGTGGACAGAACAAGGAATCAGTGCAGCGTATAGAGGCCACGCCCCGGAGACGACACAGGCACTCTGCACGGAAGGGCACCGCGGCCACTTGTTTCAGAACCAAAGATAAATGGGCTCCTGTTGGGCCTCCCCACACTGTGGCCCTGGGCCTGTTACTGACCAGTGTTCACGGTGGTCCGGCCGTACAGCCCGTACAGCCTGACAAGTTCACCTCAGTCATTTAAAGTTCAGAGATGGGGACAAACGTGTTCATTGGAAGAGTCAGTCGGACGGAAGCCTGTCAGTTGAAGTTCATTGATTAAGTCTGGCACCCGGAGGTGGAGGGTGGCAGGGCGAGGCCATCTGAGGGTCCGGCACGTGCTGAGACGGGGAGGCGTGGCTGCGCACTGGGGCCGTTTCCAAGGACTGAGGATGGAAGGCTATCAGTCCTCCCGCCAGCACACTTGTTTTAAATGGGGTCATTTTAAAGCCAGTCAGACCTTGTGACTCCACCCTGAACACCTGCACATGTCTGAGAAAGACGGTCTTCCCACACCCACCGTGATGTTGTCAGATGCCATCAGCCCTGAGTGTGGTCCACCTCCTGGCCACGCTTTACCTCCAGACTGAGCCGGACCCACAGCTGCCTGCCTCCCCTTTCAGGGATCTGGTCAGGGATCGACTTTCTACCTACTTAATATGAGATGCATGCGCAGTATACTAACTACAGCCGTTCCTGTCCCTTAGGGCCTGTAAATCATGCCCCCTGAAGAGCAACCATCTTAACACCAGGCCCTAGATGACCCTTTTTAAAAAGTGCACTTTTAAAGGCATAATTTCTGTGTAAATAGAGATGAAACCAGTGTCACCAGCTATAAATTAGATCCACTGTAAATAAAACCTGAAAAGGAACCAGTTGATATCCTAATCAGATGCTGTGTGAAACCATGGGGGTAGGGCACAGAGCAGGGGCAGGGCGGACACCCAAAGGGGACACGGCCAGGTGTGAGGAGCCGGGTCAGGCAGCTGCGGTACAGTGCTGGGGGCCATGCGAGGGGCCGCAGCCGGAGCTCGGCCGGGCCATCCCCTCACGGGGCGGCTGGGGGCGGGCCGGGGTCTTGCGCCGCCCCCCCTCACCCACTGTTTTCCACACAGACGTGTCTCCTGATGCGGCAGCAGCATGAGGCTGCAGCCCTCAATGCCGTGCAGAGGATGGAGTGGCAGCTGAAGGTCCAGGAGCTGGACCCTGCTGGGCACAAGTCCCTGTGTGTGAACGAGGTGCCCTCCTTCTATGTGCCCATGGTTGACGTCAACGACGACTTCGTGCTTCTGCCAGCCTGATGCACCACAGGACGCCACTTGGGACACAGGCGAGGGCCACGCGCACCTGCCCAGCACTGCTGCCGAGTCTGGGTGTCGGAGACCTTGTCCCCCAGGTGGGGACAGCCAGGGGGAAGCCCGCGCTTTGCCCCCTGAGCACAGCTCCTTGATGGCAGCCGCTGCAGGAGGACAAGACGACCACAGGGACGCGGACGTGACGGCTTCGGGGTTGGTCCCCAGCCAGCTGGCTGCACGCGCATTTTAGGGGCCGCGGAACAGAGTGCGTTTTCAAAAGTTCTTGTTGCATTCTGATCAACTAAAAATAAAACCAAGGTGTCCACCCACAAACAGTGACCTCCAGGTGGAGAGCAGAGAGGCCACCGCCCTGTAGCCACAGGGCCACTGATGGCCTCAGACTGGGGCTGGGACGCTGTGCCGGGCGAGGGCCTGGCTGCGCCGCCCGCCCGCCACTGAGGAACGCAAGCTGGTTGTGTTTTTAATGGAGTCAAATCCACGTGGTTTGTATATTTTTTTCCTTTATTCTTGGGCATTTTGTTTCTCTTTCTGAGAACATAACTTGAAACACTACAGAGCCAATAATCATATAAAAAGTGTACCGTGAGCTGTACAGTTTTATACACATTCACAATGTACTTTTGCTGCCTTCTAGATAATTTATTTTGCAACACATTACTGCACAGTTGTAAATAACTTATGTACTGTAACATCACTTCAGTTATGTGTAAAGAAATAAATAAATTAACTAAATGCTCTTTGTACATGACAGCCCCTCCCGGGCATGGCTGGCATGTGGGCAGCAGGGCAGGGCCACTGAAAAACTCCCATCTGCAGCTTTCTCTCCTCCTAAATCAGTACCTTTTAATTTTGAAACATCATATTCTCTCCTTTCCTGCCCTCACGGGGGCTCAAGGGGCCATCGTCCACTGCTCAGCCCATGGCAGGAAGGAGCCAAGTCCCCACATCCCGGCCCAAGCAGACAGCTGAGGTTTCTCTGCGAAGGTGCCCGAGGGTGGGCACAAAGAGAGGGCCAGGCCCTGGTGCCAGGGGCCCACAGGGATGCCCTGGGGCCTGGCCAACTCTCGTTCCCCAGCCCTGCCTGTTTGTAGGTGACCCTGTGCCAATCTGCACTGCTAACGGGCTGCAGCTGGCATGGGGTCCCCGCTTTAAGAACCCAATAGGTGAACAACAGTTCAGAGGACAAGACCTGGAGGCTTGAGCCCAGGGCGTCCTGGCAGGGGCCAGCTTGCACCCCGAGCAGGCAGGGGGCAAGCCCACCTGGTGGCGTGTGGTGCTGTGGACGGCACATCGGGCCCCTGGAGTGGCTCTCCTCCCCGTCCCACCCACACGGCCGGCTCACCCACACCCAGGGTACTGGAGGGGCCTGCAGGCATGGAGGGGACAGGCCCAGGCAGCGAGAAGTGGGGCACACCTTTGCCTTGCCCACGTCCTGGGAGAGCACACTGCACTGGGTGGGGACAGAACAAGAACCCAGTGCACACCCCCAGTGTCCCCAGGCACAGCTCCTGGTGCCCCACCCACACACAGCAGCCTGCCTGAAGTGTGTCCCTGCTGGAGGCATCCTTGACCATCCTCCCCAGGGTGTGGTGTGGGTGGGGGGACCAGAGAAGGCACAGCGAAGCTCCAGGATGCATTCTGGGCCTCAGTTTTCCTGACCGGACCCCAGAACTGTCGCCGCGGTGCTTTCAGGCCCTGCTTCTCCCTCCAGTGTATATTCACCTGCCATCGTCCTCACGCGGGCTCAGCGTCAGCAGCCTCAGGACACAGGACCCACAGCAGCGCCGCCAAGCCCGTCTGTACATACTGGGCACTGCCCCATCATAAACCTCTGCCACAAGCAACCAGTGATGGGCGCCCTCTGCTCTGGGGTAGAGATGATGCAGCAGTGCAGGAAATTCTAAGAACAAAGGCTCTGTCTGGTTTTGCTCCCAATCCAGGGTCTAGGCTTGAGGGGTCAAGGCCAGTGTTTTCAGAACGTCTCAAGTTCAGAGCTGTGCCTGGTCTGCAGACTCCTGGCCGCCAGAGCCTGTAGCTGCAGGTGTATCAGGCAGCCCCCCGGGAAGGCTGGGGGTCCTGCCTCTGACACAGTGGGTGCTGACACCCTCATAACACAAGGCCGTTGCAGACACTACCTGACCCTTTGGCCTTTGGAGGCGCTCGATATCTTATTAGCATCAAAACAAACCAGATGAACCCCCAGTCCCCAGGTGCACCTGGGCCATTGAACCTGCTTGGACCCAGAGTCCTGGCAGGGTATCCCAGGTGGGAAGATGAAAGCAAGCAGGGGCTTTTCCAGAAAAAGAGAAGCTAAGTGCAGACTGCGACCTGGGGGAGCCATGAGCCGCCCTCCTCCTGCAGGGAAGGCAGCCTTGGGCACATTCCAGGCACAGGGGGCCTGGGGCTGCGCGCTGGTGGCCCGGGCCGGGTGAGGGGACTCCGTGTGAGCCACGGCAGCACACAGGCCCCTGGGTGTGTGCTCCCCGGCACCGCCCACACCCACCTCCCCGGCGGGCAAGAGGGGCAGGAGGCACTGCTCCCAGAGGCTCCTCCCTCTATGTTGGGGGACTTGGCCTCACGGGGCGGTGGAAGGAATTCCTCAGGTTCTCTTTTGTTGGAAAAGCCAAAATCAGCTGGGAGGAAGTGCCCCACCCAGCGCAGGAGTGCAGGGCTGGGCCGCCTGTCACCACAGCTGGGTTTTGAACCCCACAAGCCCCACTGATGGGCACAGAACACATAACAGACCAGGTGTGCCCGACTTATGTGTAATAGCCAAAGACTAGCAGTGAATGCCACTTAAAATAAGCCTTACATACAGCAGGGCCTCTAGACCTTGGCGCCAGTTGTCCCACGCATGACAGGACGGAGCACTGTCCCTGCCCTGATGCGGGGGCTCTGGGCTGTGACAATCAACACCTCCAAGCCTGGCCAGACCTTCCTGAGGGGCAGAGTCGTCCCCACTGAACAACGAGGATTAAAAAGCCAGGTGCGTACACAGTCTGTGCTGTATGGGTCCATTTACCTGAAGTTCAGGAAGAGGGAAAATGCCTGAGTCGCCAGTCACGCGTGGTGCTGCGTGGGGCTCACCCCGCCAGGGTTTGCTTTGCAATCATCGATGGGCGGTGCGTATGTTTCTGGCATCTTCTGTTATATTTCACTATTTTAAAAATGTTTTTTACAAAAACGAAATGGAAGACATTTCTCCATTTCCTCAGGAAACCAGAATGATATTTATGGATGTGCTTTTGAAAATATAGCCCAGGATGCCAAGTCAGAGCCATTACTTTCCAGCCAAAGTCCCCCAAAAATGAGAGATGGGGAAAATGACAAATTCAAAGTCATCCTGGTAAAGAGAAGGTGGTTAGATAGCACATCAGAACCTCTGAGAAGTGGGGAATGTAAAGTAGGTTAATTCGTCTGACAGGAGGTGAGGCAGCACTTGGAGAATCGCAGAGTAAGCACCTCTGAACGTCCCGCAGGCGCAGCGAGAACAGGGTGGGATGGGTGGGGGACTCATCAACTTTCTCAGAGCTCTGCAAGTTAACCAAGCCTTACAATCCAAGAGTGCTTATTCAAGAAAACAGCTGAATCTTAACGGTGAGCTTTGTCATTTAAGTTTCCTTATTTCCACTCCTCTCTCCAGTTCCATGTTAGCCTTGAAAACCAGAAGCCCTGTAGCCGCCAGAGATGTTGGGCTGGGTGTGGAGCTCCTCAGGTGCCCTCCCACCTCTGGGCGCTGGTGCCATCTGACCTGTCGCTCCCTGGAAAGTCCCTATTCCCAAAGGGCTTGTCAAAACAGCCAGTGTCAACTGTTAACATCACAGCTGCCTGACAAGGTGATGCCAGGAGGGGCAGACAAGCCTGGCCACAAAATAGAAGATCTCAAAGTAAGATGCCCATGGGTGCTCCTAAATTCTCCGACATATTCCAGGAGACACAGAAAGTCTATGTGCTACTCAGGAAATAACAGAACACCCTCTAGGCCTCTGGAAGCAGGGGGTGAAGGCTAACAGAGTTGAATCTGCCAGAATATCGAAGAACCGTTGGGCAGAGTCTGAGACTTCTTGGACAAGGCTTTTAAGGAAATCTCTGTCCAGTCATCAGATGAGCAGCAAAGGCCTTGACTGCCCACACACCACAGGAAACTCAGACCTCACAGAATTAGTCCAGGAGAGCCATCAACAGCAGCAGAAAGAGATCTGGGGGACAGGAATCTGACTTCCTGGGCCGCCATGGCGTATTATCTAAAATGTCTACTGTTAAACAGAAAGTTAGGAGATACGCAAAACAGAAAACATGACCCACACACAGGAAAAAAGAAAAAGGGACATAATACAACCTCGGAGGCCCCCGAAGTTAAACGTACTAGGTGACACCTAAAAGTCAGCTTTGATCAATTTTGCTCAAAGAACTAAGTGAAATTATGTCTGAAGAATATGAAAGAGAGACACTGTCTCACCAAATAGAGAATACCAGTAAAGAAAGAAATTGTTTTTAAAAGAACGGAAATTCTGTACTTGAAAAGCACAACTGAATTTGAATGACCAGAGGAATCGACAAACTTGCAGGTTGATTCAGATGATAGGATCAGAGTGACAGGACACAAAGGACGGAGCAAAGCGAGCAGTTCCAGGGACCCGCAGTGCACAGCCGAGTGTGCAACGTACGCGCCAAGGAAGCCCTGCAAGAGTGAAAGGGGAGGAAAAAGGGTTAATTTTTCAATTGAAATATGGTTGATATGCAATATTATATTGGCTTCAGGTGTACAGCAGTGATTCGACAATTAAACATGTTTCAGAAAGCTCACCATTATAATTGTACTTGAAAGATAGTTATTAACCATTTTATGTGTCACCCTGGCTCTTACTAGTCATCCAGCCAGGTTGTTGTAACCTGTCAACTGTAATCCTCACACCAGTCTTTTTAATAGCTCGAAGATACAGTAAAAGAAACAAGGATATTTAAATGGAATACCAGAAAAAATATATCTAATACGAAAGAAGGCACTAATGGAGTAACTGAGGGAAAAAAGAAACAGCACAATGTAAGAAGGCCAATCAGTACCTTAAATGTGCATGGGACAGACTCTCCTGTTAAAAGGCAGAGACTGGCAGAAGGGGTTGTGATCATGATTCGGCTCTATGCTGCCTGTAAGAGACTCTGCAAAAACTGGCAGATCAAAGAGAACTGCACTGCCAGCAACAGCGGCTGGAGACGTCATCGCCCCTGCCTTTCACGATGGGTAGAACAGCAGACAGAAGGTCAGTGAGGAAACGAGATCTGAACAGCACTCTAGACCAGCAGGGCGTCTGCGGACACTCCACCCACAACGGCAAAGAATATATTCTCAAGAGCACATGGAATATTTTAGAGGAAAGGCCATATGATAGGCTGTGATTCCAGCCTCAGTAAATTTACAAGGACCGAGATGACACAAAGGCTGTTCTTCAACCACCATGGAATGGAATTCAAGAAACGCGAAAATATGTGGAAATTAAATAGTGCACTTAAATAAGCACAGAGAAAATTACAAGGGAAATGAGAAAACACTTCTGAGATAATTTGGCAGAAAAAGATTGGACCTAACACACCACCTAATTAGCAAAGGAAGTGTGTGGGGTGGGTGCCAATGGAGACGGCGAGAGACTTTCTCAACAGAGCTACTGAAACCCCCTGAACAAAAGCAGCCAGGGCAGGATCTGGGCAGAGGGTGTCTTCAGGGGGTGTGTCAACACCCAGCACA